CCAGACTGAAATCTCCCTGGCTGACACCTTCTGTGTAGAAATGCCAGCTTGAGTTGCTCATAAATGATCTCTCCAGCTCGATGTGTCACGGATATCTGCAGAGCATGAAGTCAGACAGAGCAGCCCTGTGTCCAAGGGATGGGGCTGGCTGATCCCACAGTGCTTGTGCAGCCTTGAAGCTTCCCCTGGAAAAACTCTGCAGTGAGGAATTCTCAGGAACTCTCAGCTCTCTGTCATCCTGAGGTGGCACAGAGCAGCAGAACGTCCTGGAGGAGGGAGCAGAGCAGATCTGCTGAGTGTTCTGTGCCAGCTCCACGCTGCTGCTGCTGCTTCTCCTCCCACCATCACCTGCTCAGCCTCCAGCCTGGTTAACAGCAATTAAAATGTTCTTTATTTTCTCCAGAAATCCCCCCCACAACACGGTGACAAATGGGACTTCACCCACAGCAGGGAAAATAATATCATTATTATATGAATTATAATTTCTGGAGGTCTGCACCTCCAGAATGCTGCCTGGTGAGGCCTGGTGTTTTATTGCTTTTTGAATAAAAACTAACGCAAATCACAGACTGGTCCAGGACTCAAAGCAAGGAAGATTCCCAGTCCAAACTGGGATGAGGTAGAACTGAAAAAGACTAACTAAAATGAAAAGATGAGGTAGAACTAAAAGGCAAATATAGAGGTTTTTCTCAGAGGATCTAAGATTCACATGGTGGAAGTTTTTTGCACTGTAAATTCTTGGAGTAAAGACTATTTTTTTAAAGAATAAACAGTTTTTCTCAGAATACTTTGACTTTGACCTAAGATACACATGGTGGAAGTTTTTTGCACTGTAAATTCTTGGAGTAAAGACTATTTTTTTAAAGAATAAACAGTTTTTCTCAGAATACTTTGACTTTGACCTAAGATACACATGGTGGAAGTTTTTTGCACTGTAAATTCTTGGTGTAAAGATAATTTTTTGAAAGAATAAAGAGAATATTTTTAAAGAATAATTTCTCTCAGAATACTTTGACTCTGGGAGCTGATTTTAAGGTAAATACCAAATAACTGCCAAAATATCCAGACATTCAGTAATTGTGGATCTCCTTATGCTCCAGTTCCTATGGAATGCTCATCTAGATTATGAGTTTTACCTTGTAACTTTAAAAAAAAAAATGTTTCTGCCTCAATTTGCTCCTCCATTCCCCTTCTCTTGTACCCAGGCCATGCCCAGGGTGTGCTGAGGGGTCTGGGATCTCATCTCCTCACTTCCAGGCACAGCACAGATGACTCAAAGGAATTCTGTAGGCTTGGGGAAGGGAACTCAGAGCACTGAGCCAACGTGTCATCGTGAGATGAAAAATAATTTCAACAGCACATCCTGAGAAATGGTCCCATCAGCGCCCCGGGGCTGCCTCTAATGAATTCTAATTAGAAGCTGTCACTTCTTGTTCTGGGAAGAGAGGAATGCTTCAGCTCTGCCACCCCTCAACCTTGGGGACACCGAGGTGAGATCTGTCCCCAGCAATGGGTACATTCCAGGGCATTTTTTGCTGCTGGAGCAATTAATTGGGAATTTCTGTGTGGGGAAGGGCAGGCAGCCCCAGGAGTGCTGTGCTGGTTCCTCTCGAGCTCTGAATCCACGCACATCAAGGTGCCCACTTTGAAACATTTGTGCCATTTCTCATCCATTCCTCATTTCTCATCCATTTCTCATCCACTTCTCATCCATTTCTCATTTCTCATCCATTTCTCATGCCATTCTCAACATTTCTGTCATTTCTCACCCTCTGGACTCCTGCCTCAAACTCCTCCTCCCCTGCTCAGCCTGTTCCCTCCCACATTTGTGCACTGGATTCCCAGAGTGGGATTCCCTAGAAAGCAGATCCAAACCCCACAAAACCTTTAGGGTGAGTGTCCAGTGTGAAACGTGGCACATTTATCTGTAGATTTTAAAAACTCCAACCCCTAAACAATGCAGCCTCCTCCCAGCACATTCCTTCCATCCATCTTTCTCAGCCACTTGGTTTCTTGACAGAATTTCCATAACCTGGCTGAAAACACTCCCACAGCTGATGAAATCCTGCCGTGGAATCCAGAGCTCTGATTAAAAGGCTGGGGCTTTCCAGCACTGCACGACTTGCACAGATGGTTAATGCTCACAGTTTGTTCCACATGGGGGGAAAGTGGCATTTTCTTTACAAGCACATGCACCCCGAGCTTTCCCATGGGAATTGCTTGTTCTGGTCAGATTATTGTTCTAAAGCTGTCATCAGATGTGATCAGAGGGAGCAAAAGGAGATGAGCAGATAATCCCTGAGGCACGAAGCTTTTTGAGCTGGGTTTGCAGGGAGCTGTCACCCATGGTCAGTTTGTTTAGCTCAGGGGTTTCTCCTCCTCTGATCCCCCCAAAAATACTCGTGCAACATCGTGGGATGTTGTGGGGATTTGTATGAGGAGGAATCCTCTGAATCATTTAAATATTGGTAAAGCACAAGCATGAAGCAAAGCCTTTGGCTCTCACTGGCCTTAGATCTGCTGCAGAAATATGGAGTGAAATCTAAACCTGAGTTTATTGCAGGAATAAAGTTCTTTGTTACAAAAGTAAAGTGCCTGCTCGCAGACATTCTGTCAATCAGATCTTTCTCAGATAAACATCCCCTAATCTAAATTTTAACCTTTTCCAGACTCCTCTCTGTCAAAAACCTCAAAAACTCCCAGCATTTCTCAGGCAGGGATCAACACATGAGGAAGTAATTAATGAGTGCAGGAGGGGAAAAAAAAAGGAAAAAGAAAAAAGAATGTGCTGAATAGAGGCAAAATTGAGACTGAAACCCCTCATCCCACAGGCTGCTCAGGATGCAGCCAGGACATTCCAGCTCCTGACAAAGAGCCTGGAGAGATGCTGGAGCACTCAGCAACCCCAGGGCTGGGCATGTGTTAGAGACACAGCTGGGCAGTGAATCTGGAACAGTGCAGTGTCTTGGGCTGGATATCTGGGAAAATGAACGAGGTTATCCCTGGTTCTGCACACACTCAATCCGTGGCATCCCATCAGTGCTGCTCTGCTTTCCAGAAGGAGCTGCAGTAATCAGTTCATTTATCAAGGAAAGCTTGTTAGTGGAAGCTCTATCACCCCATTTCCAGCAGGCTGAGTCTCACCCGAGGCCTGGCAGAACAAATCCACCAAATCCACTTCAAATCCTCAGGGAGGGAGGGAGGAAAAAAAAAATCCTACCATAAAAAGTTATTTTGGATAAATCATAACCTTACAGGAACACTGTGCCTCAGTTTTCCCGATGACAAATGGGGGTGACAGAAGTGCCACTCATCCAATTCCCAGCAGAGCTGTAAAGCTCATTTGATTAACATTTATGGAACCACCACGCACGACTCTTCGAGGGGAATTGCTGCTGAAGAACTGTTGTGATTGTTGCTTATTCCCCCGGCGCCTGAAAGAGGGAGCTTGGCAGAACTCCAGGAGAAATATCCTTGTGAGCTCAGATAAAAGATGAGCCAGCCTGGCAGTCAGAGAAGATTCATTACAAACCTGAGGTCTCAGATGTGAGCTCAGAGCCCGGGCAGGGCTCCAGGAGCTTTGTCTGTCCCGTGAGGTACAAAACCATGGAAGGACCTTTGGGGGTCACCTTGTGCATCACACACCTGGGTAAAACCAGCTGGGCTCTGCCACAAGAGAGGAGCCCACATGGAGAGCAGGTCCAGAACACCTTGGAAGTGCCCAGGGCTGGGATGGGCAGGGCTTGGAGCAACCTGGTGGAACCCACGGCAGGGATGAGCTTTAATGTCCCTTCCAAGGCAAACCACCGGGAAAAAGCCAAACCCCCATCCTTCCCCTCCTCCCGCCCTCCTGCCTTCACCAGCTCCTCTTTTCCCACATCTTTCAGCAGCTCTTAAAGAACTCGTGTGAGGATGCTGTCCCGCTCCATCCCTCCCGGTGTCCCCCATCCTCCTCCCGTCAGCAACAGGTACCGGAGCGGGGAAGAACACCCTGCCGAGGGTCTCGGGGTGATGCCGGGGGCTCGGCATCCTGCTGTCCCCGGGTGCCCCGTGTCCCCCGAGCCCGCAGCCCCTCCCGCCGCCGAGGGCGGACTCCCGGCCGCCGCCGCCGCGATCCTGGCCGCCCTCCCGGCCCCGGTGCCGCCGCTTCCTGCAGGATCCGCCGCCGGGGGAAGCCGCGGGGAGGGGGCCCAAGGGCTTCTCCTCCTCTCGCCGGGTTATTTTTTCCGGTGCTCGCTCCAGCGGGGGAGGTGGGAAGAGCCAAAAGGCGGCGGTACCCCCTTCCCGCCCCCCCCTCTCCGCCGCAGCACATGGGAAGCAAAAGTTTTCCTCCTCCTCCTCCTCTTCCTCCTCCTGCTGCTGCTCCCGCTGCTGCTGCTCGGTGCCCTCCGCCCGCAGCCCCCCGGGCCGCCCCCCGAGGATGCTCGGGCTCCGCTCGGATGTCCCGCCGGCCGGCGAGGCGTAGAGCCCGGCAGGAGCCGCTCCGGGGCCGCGGGGAGCGGGGCCGAGCCGCGCCCGCATCTTCCGCAGCGATCCGCGGGGCGGAGGAGCGGCCGGGCCACGGTAACCGGATGGTTTAGCAGCGCCGGGGCTGCGCTGCGCCGGGCTCCGGGCCCGCCATGGGCACCGGGATGTGCTCCCGGAGGCAGAAGGGGCTGCTGCAGAGCGCCTTCTGCCTGCTCGCCCTGGCCTGCCTGGCCGCCGGGGCTTTCCTCTACAACCACTTGCAGCAGAAGGTGCGGAGCGCCGAGGCGCTGGCGCAGAAATACAAACAGCAGCAGGAAGCGCTGTCAGCCCAGCTGCAAGGTGAGTGACCCCTCCGGAGCCTCAAAGATGTGTGAGCCTCTCCGGAGCTCCACGGTGAATGACCCACTCTGGAGCTCTGAGTGACCTGCTCTGGAGCTCCACGGTGAGTGACCCCTCCGGAGCTCCACGGTGAGTGACCTGCTCTGGAGCTCTGAGTGACCCCTCTGGAGCTCCAAGGTGAGTGTGATCCTCTCCGGAGCTCCACGGTCACCGATCCTCTCCAGAGCTCCGAGATGAGTGACCAGCTCTGGAGCTCCAAGATGAGTGATCCTCCCCAGAGCTCTGAGATGAGTGATCCTCTCCGGAGCTCCAAGGTGAGTGACCCGCTCCGGAGCTGTCCCTTTGTGCACACCCTGCCCCAACTTCCCTCCCTCCCACCACAAGCATGCTCCCCTGCTCATCTCCTGGCTTTAAAGATGCTGCGCTGTTTCCTTCCCCCATTTGGATGTCAGGAAGTAGAGCAGCCCTGAGTCTGAATTGTTTCCTTCCCCCATTTGGATGTGAGGAATTAGAACCTGAGTCTGCATTGTTACTTGCCCCCATTTGGATGTCAGGAATTAGGAACTGAGTCTGAACTGGCAAAGGGGGATCGGGGCTGGATGGGCGAGCTCAGCTGCGTCACATCGATTCCATTTCCATTTCTTCTCCCTCTGGCTGCAAATCCAAACCCGAACGCGAGGCAGTGAAAACGCAGAGCAGGCTCTGAGAGGGGCTCCGCTCCCTCTGCCCCGCGTGCAAGCGAGCAGAGAGGGAAGGGCTCTGTCCCTGAAGTTTTGTCACTGTCTCTGCAGGGCGATAAACCCTCCTCGCTCTCGAGGGGTTGGTCCGGGCTGAAAAATCCGGACTAAAAAAGTCCGGGACTAAAAGAGTCCTGCCAGCTTTTTGGGGCTGATGGATGCTGCAGGTTTTTGACTCCCAAAAGAAAAAGGGGAAGAGGAAGAAGCAGAATTGGCTTTTCTGGCAAACCCACCTTGTTCTCGAGAGGTTGATCCAGGATTTAAAAAATCGTAACAGCTTTTTGGGGCTGATGCATGCTGCAGTTTTTTAGCTCCCTAAAAAGAGGGCAAGAAGAGGAGGAGGAGGAAGAACTGGCTTTTCTGATCCCATTGACAAACCCACCTCACTCTCGAGCTGTTGGGTCGGACTAAAAAAAGTCCGAGACAAAAAAAGTCCAAAAAAAGTTGTGGCAGCTTTTTGGGGCTGATGGATGCTGCGGATTTCTTTAGCTCCCTAAAGAGAGGGAGAAGAAGAGGAAGAGGAGGAGGAAGAATTGGCTTTTCTGACAAACCCACCTTGTTCTGGAGAGGTTGATCCGGGATTTAAAAAGTTGTGCCAGCATTTTGGGGCTGATGGATGCTGCTGATGGATTTTTAGCTCCCTAAAAAATGGGACGAGGAGGAGGAAGAGGAGGAGGAAGAGGAGGAGGAAGAGGAGGAGGAAGAACTGGCTTTTCTGATCCCGCTGCCCAGCGCTTGGCTCCCCTGGCAGGAGCTGCCGGAGGCCGGAAGGCAAACCCAGCGTGTGGATTCCTCCTCCCCCTCTCTCCCCTCGTTTGTCCTCCTTACATAAATGCCTGGCTGTGGGAAAATGGGATTTCAGCCCGTGGGAGGGCTGGGGACACGCGGTTACCCCTCTGCTGAGCTCTCATCTCCTTTGTCCAGCCCATGTTCCAGCCTTGCTGGGTGTGCCCAGCAGCTGCCACAGGATTTGGGGTCTCTGGAGGGATTTGCTGAGCTCCCCATGTGAGGTTTGGTGGGAATGCCCTGGGGGCAGGCAGGGCTGGAGGACGGGCAGCCCCTGGAATTCCTACAGAATGAATCCACGTGGCCAAAAATTGTTCTACTCAAAATCAAGATATTATTTAACCCCTTTTTCCCCCCCTAAAAAGTCAGTTTAGATCACAGTGTTTACATGGGAGCTCCTCCCCAGCGAAAATCAAATCCAGGGTGTTCTGTCATGACCTTTGTGGACACATCCAGGGATATTCTCCAGGGCATCCTGCAGATCTGTGACTCAACATCTGAGTCTTTCAGGGTTAAATTTCTGCTGGTGGCTGTGAGCTGCAAGTGGAGCATCCCAGCAGGGCTGCCCAGGGCTGGGTTCTGTTTGCTCAGTGTGGGCTGTGCTGTTCCCCTGCAGGAGACAAAACCCAATCAGTGAATCTAATTAACGTGTGCTCAGCTTCAGCGCTGTCACCTTGTGGTTTCTTCCATTTTCCCTTCACCTCCAGCTCAATCCCAGCCACGATCCCCAGTTTGGGACGTGCAGAGCCCAGCAGGGCAGAACTTACCCCAATCCCTCCCTGGTGTGCCAGAGGGGCTGCTGCTCCTGAGGATGACAGTGGCAGCCTCAGGGAACCCCGGTTTTTAGGAACAGCTGAGCCAAACTCATCGTTTTTCCACCCAAAGGTGTGAGCTGCAGAGCTGCAGCCTGTTGCTGGGACTCCCTGGCAGTCCTGCCCTTCCCAAACACAGCTGTTGCCATGGCTACCCTTCTTTATTTTGAGGAGACACTCTCTGTCCAACAATCTCCACAAAGACGAGGCTTCCTTTTGCATTTGGGGAAGCCTGGCAAGGGGCAGATGAGAGATAATTTTGGGAGGCTCGTCTGTGTCTGGTGCTGGGGACAACCCTGGGGCTCTGTCCCTGGCCACCAACAATGACCTTTTAGCAGAGAAACAAAACTCAGCGGGCCAGGTTGCTGCGGTCAGAATGGACCCAGGACTGCAGGAGTGACCTCACCAGGACGGCCACCTCGCCTTGGCCAGCTGGCAGCACGCCTCCCGTGCAGTGCCAAGGGCTGCTGACCTTCCTGCTGCTGGGGAGAGCCCTGGAATTACATCTGCAGCCTTCCTGAATCCCAACGTTATTTTCTCCAGGGCTGATTTCCAGCCTGCTGTCCTCCAGGGTCTGAATTTCCCGTCTGGATGGCAGCACGGTGCATGAACAGCTCCCTCAAGTTTTGAATCATCCATGACTTGATCATCACCCAAGTCATGAATACAGATCTTTAACATATTGATCTCTTTTCTGAGCCACACTCTCTTCTAACCCTGCAAGCTTTGACAGTGTCTCTGTATTTCTCCTAACTCCATCTCTTGTACGCTTTATTTTTACATCTGTGTTTTGTTGAGAAGCCCTCGTTTGTATTTTTGGCGTTTAGTTTCGATGATTGTGAAGGTAAAACCTTGGCCTGCCCTTGTGGCACGACCTGGATCCCCCTGTGCCCTTTCCGTGGTCCAGCAGCTCCCGTGGCAGCAGCTGGGGGTGGTGGATTCCAGCTGCATTTACACATCACCCCCCAGAAAAACAAATTATTCCGCATTTCTGGCTCCCCGAATCTGGCCGGGCGAGCCGCTGCTGTGTCCCAGCACAAAATGAGCAAAGAACGAGGAAAGAAAGGTGGAATTTGGGATTGTCCTGAGCGGGGAGGGACCCACGGGGACCACCCAGGTCCAGCTCCTGGCCCTGAACACCCCCAGCTCCTCTCAGGGGTTCTGGAAGGGGAAAAAACCCTGCCCTGGGTTCTGGAAGGGGAAAAAATCCTGGCCTGGGTTCTGGAAGGGGAAAAAATCCTGGCCTGGCTTCTGGAAGGGGAAAAAATCTCTCCTGCACTGAGGGTCTGAGGTAGCAACAGGCTGGGCAAGAATTAGTGTTGACTCTGGGATTCATAGAAGGTTGATCAAGCTCTTTATTCCATATTATTAAATTATTATTATTATTATTATTATTATTATTATTATTATTATTAGTGGTGGTGTTATAGTTATTATTATTATTATTATTATTATTATTATTATTATTATTAGTACGACACCTATTGCTTTTATAGATATGATATAGGTCGACCTAATTGGTCCTCTAATCTGAATTGTTTTTTTTAATATGGTGGAAAAATATCTGATTTTTTTTTAATGGTGGCGGAAATATCCGATTTTTTTTTTAAATGGCGGGAAAAATATGAATTTTTGAAATGGTGGGAAAAATATCTGACTTTTTTAACGGCGGGAAAAAAAAATCAGATTTTTTTTTTTCTTTAATGGTGGAATAAACTAGATTTTTATTTTTAATGGTGGGGGAAAATATCTGAATTTTTTTTTTTTTCAATGGTGGGGAAAATATCTGATTTTTTTTTTTTATGGTGGGCAAAAATCAGATTTTTTTGAACGGTGGGGAAAATGTCAGTGGGGATAAATGCGAGGCTGGTGGTGCTGTGCTCTCCGCAGTGGTGTACGAGCACCGCGCCCGCCTGGAGCGCTCCCTGCAGAAGGAGAGGGGCGAGCACAAGAAGACCAAGGAAGGTGAGTCCTGCCCCAGGGCAGGGAGGCTGAAAACCAGAAATGAGGGAGCCCCCGCGGGGAGGGGATGGGCGTGGGGGCCGAGGCTTCGGAGTGATGGGCAGGGCTTTGTTAGAGCGCGGCCAGAGGAAGGGAGGGAAGGGAAGGGAAGGGAAGGGAGGGATTTGAAGGCTCCTGGTTGGCGCAGGGTCACTGCAGAGGTGGCACTGCCGCTTTTTCCCGTGAGAGCACTGGTGGAATTGTCCTTACCTGCTCCCTCTCCCCTCGCAGACTTTCTGGTGTACAAGCTGGAGGCTCAGGAGGCTCTCAACAAGGAGAAGGTGCGTGTGGCTGCTGCCAGCCGGGCTGGGGACAGTGGCTCTGCTGTGGTGCCACCGGGCCCTGGAGGGCTCCGTGTGCGGCACGGGCTGAGCTTCGGCTGACTGCTCTGCCTGGGAGCTCTGGGGTGGAGGCTGCTCCTTCTTCTCCTTCACCTCCTTCTCCTTTTCCTTCTCCTTTTCCTTATTCACCTTTTCCTTCTCCTTTTCCTCCTTCTGCTTTTCCTCCTCCTTTTCTTCATCCTTTTCCTTCTTCACCTTCTCCTTCTCCTTTTCCTTCTTCTCCTTTCCTCCTTCTCATTTTCCTCCCCTTTTTCCTCCTTCTCCTTTTCCTCCTTCTCATTTTCTTCCTCCTTCTCCTTCTCCTTCTCCTTCTCCTTCTCCTTCTCCTTCTCCTTCTCCTTCTCCTTCTCCTTCTCCTTCTCCTTCTCCTCCTCCTCCCTGGCTTTGGGTGGTTTTGTGTAACTGGATAAAAGCCCCCATTGCAGGCCATGGCTGCTTGGTTATTGGGTTAAAAGTGAAAATAATTGAGGTGTCATTTCCGAACTGCACAGTTTGTCCTTAGAGGACCTTGTGCAGAAAGATGTTTGTGCGTTTTGTGCCTCGTTGGTGCAGAAGTGCAGAACTCGCTGCTGTGAGCCTCTGGCACTGATAAGAACCAACAAACCCCCGAGTCCCAACAAGAAACTCCACCTCACACGTTTCATCCCAGCCCCAGCAAAAAGAAGATAAAAATTCAACATTTTCCCGCCTGGAAATGTTCTGCTGCTCCCAGCCCCTCCCTGTGGGCTGAATTTGGCTTCTGTGGGGCTTTTCCCCCTCCCCTGGATTTTTCCTGGCTCTAATGGCACTGTTGGATCTTTTTTCTCCCTCCCCTGGATTTTCCTGGATCTAATGGCACTGTTGGATTTTTTTCTCCCTGCCCTGGATTTTCCTGGATCTAATGGCACTGTTGGATCTTTTTCTCCCCAGCAAGACTCCATGAACAGATATGGGGCCCTCAGCTCCCAGCACAAGATCCTGAAGGTGAGGGAGGTTTGGCTGCTGTGTTTTAGGGTGAAAATCCCAGGATTCCTGACTTGGGAAGGCTGAGCTGGAGCAGAGCTTCAGAAAAAAGCAGGATTTATTTGAAGGATCTCCTCAGTGGATCCACCTGGGGTGCTGGATCTTCCTACAACACATCTTCCATAATTCTATTTCTCTAAAATATCTAATCTTATTTACAAAACCATTTCTAATTCCATTTCTCCCTTAACAATATCCATTTTATTCTGTAACGTTTCTAAATCAACATTGCTTATCTCAAAATTTACACACAAATACACACTACATAAAGCTTCTATCAAACTTTTAAAATTCTGTACAAATCCATTTCCCACACTTGGGCAGCACAAGAGCCCAGCCAGAGCAGACCAGATTTTATGAGGTTTTTCTTTATAAAATTTTTCTATTTTTCTTTATAATTTTTCTATAATTTTTCTTACTGCAACATCAGCCTTTGAGCACTGTTATCACCCAGGGTTTGGCTCTTTTTCTGGGTCTCTTGGTGTGAAAATTTGGTTTATCCATCAGAGCTCACCTTTGGGCTCCTACCAAATATTCCAGTCTATGGGAGAGGCTCAGAGCAGGGCAGCTCCAAGCATTTTATAGCATTTTATTGTATTTTATACCGTTTTATAGTATTTTATACCATTTTATAGCATTTTATAGCTTATCACCTGCTCTACCTGAAGCACACCTCGATGTTCGATTTTGCTTTTGTTGGAGCAGTGCAACTGGAGGCTGCTGGGGTGGCTTTAAAAAACGTTTTTAGTGTAAACTTGGCAGTGAAATGCTGATTTAAGCTGGGATGGAGAAGGAGGGCTGGGTGGATTTCCTGCACCTCCAGCTGCCTGGCTCTGGGATTCCAGCTGGAGGAAAGGAAGTACAGTTCTGCTTTTGGGTTCTCTCCAGCCCTGTGGGTCCTGGGAACGCTCTGCAACAGCAAAATCCCTCCTCAGCAACTGCAGCTCTGCTTTGCTGCTCTCAAGGGGACACTCTGAGCTTTTTTTTATTCCTGGCTCCCTTTCTCTCGCTTCCTTTTATTGGAAGAGTGGGAAAAAAAACCCAAAAACAACCCCAACCATCTATTTTTTTTTTTTAAACTACATTTACAGCTGCTGAAAGACAAAACCAGCCCTTGGGAGTGTGGGAGATTTTTTAAAAAATTGGATTTTTTTTCTCAGAAAAAGCAGTTTTTAGCCCATGATGAGGCTGTGGGGAACAGTTCTGCCACTGGAAAGGCAGAAATGTTTCCCTGGCTCGCTCAGGAGGAAGATTTCTGCCAGGAATGTCATTGTCACCACCTGGGAAACGGGAGCTGGAGGTCCCAGATGTCCCCAGAGGGCTCCATGGCACATCTGGCTGGGGTGTCCCGGGCACTGCTGTCCCCCCTGGGTGGCTGGGGCACATCTGGAGCCTCCACCTGATTCACCCTCCACCTGATCATTTCTGGAACGTTCTTCTGCCTGGACAGCAGGAGGGAGGTGGGATGAGGGAATTTGGTGCTCTGAGTGGAAAAAATTCTAAAAATGAGAGACCCCGTTGTGGTTGTGTTCAAGGAAAGGGATGAGAATCTTGATTTTCCATTTCAGAAAGCTGATTTATTATATTGTGCTATTACACAATATTAAAATGTTGTATTAAAACTACACTAGAAGGAATGGAGAGAAAGGATCCATCAGAAAGCTGGGAAAGAAAGGAATGATGATAAAATCTTGTGGTGCTCACAGCCTCGACACAGGTGGCTGTCATTGGCATCAAGTAAAAACAAATTTACATGCTGGTAAACGATTCTCTAAATCACATCCCATACCATGGAGAAGCTGAAGCTTCCCAGCTTCCCAGGAGGAAAGATCCTGGCAAAAAGATTTTTGATAAAATATGTCTGTGACACCCCGTGAGTGCTTGTGCATTTTGGGACCATTTGGGTTCACCTTGGGTTCTTTTGGGACCATTTGAGTTCATCTTGGGTTCATTTTGGTTCATCTTGGCTTCATTTTGGAACCATTCTGGTTCATCTTGGGTTCATTTTGGGACCATTTGGATTCCTCTTGGGACCATTTTATGACCATTTGGGTTCACCTTGGGCTCATTCTGGGACCATTTTTGTTCATCTCAGGTTCATTTTGGGACCATTCTGGCTCATTTTGGGTTCATTTTGGGACCATTCTGGTTCACCTTGGGTTCATTTTGGGACCATTTTGGTTCCCCTCGGGTGCAGCCCTGGCTGGGCTCTGCTCCTGCCCAGGGTGGCTCCATGAGGAGATCCTTTTCACAAATCCCTGCTCTGTTCTGTAGCTCTGCTCCAGCCTCCCCAAGGCCTCACCCTGACTCTCCTCTCCCCAGAACCAGCACGACGACGTCAAGAAGCAGCTGCTGGAGCTGCAGCTGCAGCACAACAGCCTCAGGCTGGAGCACAGGAGGAGCCTGGAGAGCCACAGCCAGAAAGTGGCCCAGCTGCAGCAGGAGAAGGACAGCGAGGTCACCAGCCTGCAGGGTGAGGGTGGCACAGACACTGCCAGGGTGAGGGTGGCACAGACACCACCGGGGTGAGGGTGGCACAGAGACCACCGGGGTGAGGGTGGCACAGAAATCAGGCTGAGGGTGGCACAGACACCACCAGGGTGAGGGTGGGACAGACATCACCAGGGTGAGGGTGGCACAGACACCACCGGGGTGAGGGTGGGACACAGAAATCACCAGGGTGAGGGTGGCACAGACACCACCAGGGTGAGGGTGGCACAGACACCACCGGGGTGAGGGTGGCACAGACACCCCCAGGCTGAGCAGGGACTGGGATCAGGATTTGGTGGGTTGAGCCCTGTCTGACCCAGGGATGGGGAATTTGGTGGTTTTTGAAAAGCTTTTGTTCCGTTTCGGTCTCGTGTGAAGGGTGAGAGTGCAGATGTTGTAATTCACTCATCACCATCAGGAGTCGAGGGGGAAGGGAAATAAAAATGGAATTTTCTGAGTCCTGTGGCAAACACAGAGAGCCTGAGCTGAGAGCAGCAAAGGGCCTGGAGAGGAGGAATTGCTGGGAGCAACGGGGAGCAGCTCTGTGAGCCCTGGCCTTGCAGAGGTCAGGAGGAATTCGTGGTGGGAAAGGGAGATGCCACCCTTGAAAAAAAAAAACAAAAAAACTCTTTTTAAATAAATCTCTTCTTCTCCTGCAGACACGGTGTATAAACTCAGAGAAGAGAGCAGACTCCTCAGGAAAGCCCACCAGGAGGTTCACTCCCAGCTCCTCGGTGCCCAGGTAACCCCTGGGCAAATGTTCTCTGGATAAGAAATATTCACTGAACAGGAGATAATCTCTAAATAAGAAATAGTCTCTAAATAAGAAACATTCTCTAAATAAGAGATATTCTCTAAATAAGAGATATTTTCTATATAAGAAATAATCTCTAAATAACAGATATTTTCTAAATAAGAGATATTCTCTAAATAAGAAATATTCTTTAAATAAGAGATGTTTTCTAAATAAGAAATAATCTCTAAATAACAGATATTTTCTAAATAAGAGATATTCTCTAAATAAGAAATAGTCCCTAAATAAGAAATATTCTCTAAATTAGAGATATTCTCTAAATAAGAGATATTTTCTAAATAAGAAATATTCCCTAAATAAGAAATAATCTCTAAATAAGAAATAATATCTAAATAAGAAATAGTCTCTAAATAAGAGATATTTTCTAAATAAGAAATATTCCCTAAATAGTAAATATTCCCTAAATAAGAAATATTTTCTAAATGAGAAATAATCTCTAAATAAGAAATAGTCTCTAAATAAGAAGTATTCTCTAAATAGAGATACTCCCTAAATAAGAGATGTTCCCTAAATAAGAGCTATTCCCTAAATAAGAGATGTTCCCTAAATAAGAGATGTTCCCTAAATAAGAGATGTTCCCTAAATAAGAGATATTCCCTAAATAAGAAATAGCCTGTAAATAAGAGATATTCTGTAAATAAATGATATTCCCTAAATAAGAGCTACCCCTAAACCATTGCTCCAGCTGCCGGCAGGGAGTGCTGAACCCCTGCGAGGCTCCCCTGCCTCCCTCTCCTCCCCTAGGCCCAGGTGGAGGAGTTCAGGCAGCTCAAGGAGGCTCTCCAGAAGATGCCGGGCTTGAGAGGAGGAGGAGGAGGAGGAAGAGGAGGAGGAGGGAAGGGGCAGCAGCCCCCGGTGCCAGCCAGCAGCCAGCTGCAGCCAGGGGGGCAGGAGGTGAGCAGGGCTGCATTTTCCTCAGCCCTTGAGGACGTGTGGTTTCTAATAAAACATTTATTTGTTCTTTCATAGAGGATTTGTTTCTTCTTTCCTAAATGATTTGTTCTTTCATAGAGGATTTGTTTCTTCTTTCCTAAAGGATTTATTTGTTCTTTCATAAATGATTTATTTGTTCTTTTAGAAAGGATTTTTTTCTTCTTTCCTAAAGGATTTATTTGTTCTTTCATAAATGATTTATTTGTTCTTTTAGAAAGGATTTTTTTCTTCTTTCCTAAAGGATTTATTTGTTCTTTCCTAAAGGATTTGTTTGCTCTCTCATAAAGAATTTGTTTGCTCTCTCATAAAGGATTTCTTTGCTGTTTCATAAAGGATTTTCTGGCCCAGATTTGGGGGTGTTTGACAGGCAGGGGTGTCTCCTGTGCAGGATGTGAAGATGCTGATGCACATCCAGGTGAGGAGCCACGAGCAGAGCCCGGCTCCTGCAGGACAACCCTCCCCAGCAGGAAATGCCCCCGTGCCAGGCAGGCAGCAGGCAGCGGGCAGCAGAGAGGTGCCACTGCACAGGTGGGTGACACAGCGCTTCTACTCGCAGGTTTTGGGGTGGAGATGACCAAAAAGAGCATCCCTCGTCTTGTTTTTATTGTGGTTTGCTTGAAAAATGGGGTTTTTTACTGGTTTTTGTGACATAAAATTGCAGGACAACCCTCCCCAGCAGGAAATGCCCCCGTGCCAGGCAGGCAGCAGGCAGCGGGCAGCAGAGAGGTGCCACTGCACAGGTGGGTGACACAACGCTTCTACTCTCGAGTTTTGGGGTGAAAATGCCCAAAAGGGTCATCCTCTTCTTGTCTCTTTCGTGGATTTGCTTGAAAAAATTGGTTTATTACTGGTTTTGTGACACAAAATTCTTCTACTCTCAAGTTTTGGGGTAAAGATGCCCAAAAAGAGCATCCTCTTCTTGGTTTTATTGTGGGTTTGCCTGAAAAATGGGGTTTTTACTGGTTTTGTGATACAAAACGCTTCTACTCTCAAGTTTTGGGGTGAAAATGACCAAAAGGAGAATCCAAAATTCTTCTATTCTCAAGTTTTGGGGTGGAGATGCCCAAAAGGAGCATCCTTCTTCTTGTCTCTTTTGTGGATTTGCTTGAAAAAATTGGTTTATTACTGGTTTTGTGACACAAAATTCTTCTACTCTCAAGTTTTGGGGTGAAAATGATCAAATGGAGCATCCTCTTCTCCTCTTCTTGTCTTTATTGTGGGTTTGCCTGAAAAATTGGGGTTTTTCAATGAGGCAGGACAACCCTCCCCAGCAGGAAATGCCCCCGTGCCAGGCAGGCAGCAGGCAGCGGGCAGCAGAGAGGTGCCACTGCACAGGTGGGTGACACAGCGCTTCTACTCTCAAGTTTTGGGGTGAAAATTATCAAAAGGATCATCCTCTTCTTGTCTTTATTGTGGGTTTCCCTGAAAAAATGGGTTTTTTTACTGGTTTTGTGACACAAAACGCTTCTACTCTCAAGTTTTGGGGTGAAAATCACCAAATGGAGCATCCTCTTCTTGTTTTTATTGTGGGTTTGCCTGAAAAATGGGGTTTTTTACTGGTTTTGTGACACAAAACGCTTCTATTGTCAAGTTTTGGGGTGGAGATGCCCAAAAGGAGATCCAGAATTGTTCTGTTCTCAAGTTTTGGGCTGAAGATGCCCAAGAAGAGCATCCTCTTCTTGGTTTTATTGTGGGTTTGCCTGAAAAATGGGGTTTTTTACTGGTTTTGTGACACAAAACGCTTCTATTGTCAAGTTTTGGGGTGAAGATGCCCAAAAGGAGCATCCCTCTTCTTGGTTTTATTGTGGGTCTCCTTGAGAAATGGTGTTTTTACTGGTTTTGGTGACACAAAATTCTTCTGCTCCCTCCTTTTGGGGTGAAGATGCCCAAAAGGAACGTCCTCTTCTTGTCTTTATTGTGGGTTTGCCTGAAAAATTGGGGTTTTTCAATGAGGCAGGACAACCCTCCCCAGCAGGAAATGCCCCCGTGCCAGGCAGGCAGCAGGCAGCGGGCAGCAGAGAGGTGCCTTTTGGGGTGAAGATGCCCAAAAGGAACGTCCTCTTCTTGTCTTTATTGTGGGTTTGCCTGAAAAATGGGGTTTTTTACTGGTTTTGGTGAAACAAAATTCTTCTGCTCCCACCTTTTGGGGTGAAGATGCCCAAAAGAAGCAGCCCTCTTGTTTTTATTGTGGGATTGCTTGGAAAACGGGTTTTTTACTGGTTTTTGGGACACCAAATTCTTCCATTCTCAAGTTTTGGGGTGAAGATGCTCAAAAGGAGCATCCTCTTCTTGTCTTCACTGTGGGATTGCTTGAAAATGGATTTTTTTACTGGTTTTGGTGGAATTCCTGGGAGTCTGGGCATCCAGATGTGGGGCACAGATTTGTGGAGAGTTTTTAAAGTTTGATAGAAGGTGGATGTAGTGTGTGTTTGTATGTAAATTTTGAGGTAAGAAATGCTAATTTTGAAATGTTATAAAACAAGATGGGTGTTGCTGAAAGCAAAATAAAATTAGAAATAAGTTTTACAAGGATGGTTTCGTAAATATTATTAAATATTTTATCGTTATAGATAAAATCATTAAAGATTTTATCTATATATTATATATTTCTTATCTATATATATTTTTTTTTAAAGATTAAAGAGAAATAGAATTATGAAAGATATATTGTAGCAATGAGGGGTAATTTTAGATGGTCAACTTTAGGACATTTATAATACAGTGTAGCAAAAGCTGATAAGCCAAGAAACACTTTTAATACATTGAAATTAAGAAATAGTCGACTTCTGACTGCGATAATTTGAATTACAACACCTGTATTGTTTTATCTCTAAGTAAAAAAAAGTAATCCAGCATACAGACACTGGGGAAACCAGTAAAACCAGTTGTAAAACCAGTTGTAAAACCAGTTGTAAAACCAGTTGTAAAACCAATTGATTGTGCCAGCAGCTCTGGCAGGACACTGCTCTGTTCTGCAAAAGGAAGAAAATGTTTTTCTGGGGCTGCAATTCATCAAAGCCTGGCCCCAGCCCAGCAAGAAAAGAAGTGCAAAGTGGCAAAGTGCTTCCTCGTGCAGCTGATTTGTGCAGCTCGCTGCAGCAAACAGGATTTCATTTCTTTTTATCTGCAGAGGAAACTTCTGGATCCCCTTCCAGACTCAGCCTGTTCCTGCCCTTTCTTCTCTTCTATTTTTGTCTCTGCCCTGAACCCGTGGCCTTTGCAGGGCGGGGATTGTACTTTGATTGATTTTTAATTTTTTATTTAAATGGCCACATCCTCCCCAGAGTGCTGGGATAAATCAGTCTGAGGGCACTGCAGGAGCAGCTCAGGGTTTGAGCTCCTGGAGCCTTTTGGGGCCGCCCAAAGCGGGGCCCGACGAGCCCCTGGTGGGGGCCGAGCTGTGTTTGATGGATTTATAACAAATTGTGATTTTTCTCACTGAAGGGTTTGTGTGCTGGCTGCAGCAGCTGCTGGAGTCAAAGGCACTTGTCCTTTCCAGCAATTAAAAAATTAAAATATCTTAAACAGATTTTAAAATTTCATTTGTTTCTCTGCTGACTTCAAGACCTCCTGAAATCAAAGTCACTTGTGTTTTCCAGCAATTAAAAAATTAAAATATCTTAAATAGATTTTTAAATCTCATGTGTTTGTGTGCTGGCTGCAGCAGCTGCTGGAGTCAAAGGCACTTGTGTTTTCCAACAATCAAAAAAATTAAAATATCTTAAATAGATTTTTAAATCTCATGTGTTTGTGTGCTGGCTGCAGCAGCTGCTAAGTCACAGCCACTTGTCCTTTCCAGCAATTAAAAAAATTAAATATCTTAAATAGATTTTAAAATTTCATTTGTTTCTCTGCTGGCTTCAGGAGCTTCTAAAGTCAAAGCCACTTGTCCTTTCCAGCAATTAAAAAATTAAAATATCTTAAATAGATTTTTAAATCTCCTTTGTTATCCTGCTGGATTCAAGAGCTGCTGAAGTTAAAGCCACTTGTCCTTTCCAACAATTAAAAAAATGAAATCTCTTAGGCAGACTTTTAAATCTCATGTGTTTCTCTGCTGGATTCAAGATCTCCTGTAATCAAAGCCACTTTCCTTTCCAGCAATTAAAAAAATGAAATATGTTAAATAGATTTTAAAATTTCATTTGTTTGTCTGCTGGGTTCAGGATCTCTTGAAGTTAAAGCCATTGTCCTTTCCAGCAATTAAAAAAATTAAAATATCTTAAATAGATTTTAAAATCTCATTTGTTTGTCTGCTGGGATTCAAGATCTCCTGAAGTCAAAGCCACTTGTCCTTTCCAGCAATTAAAAACTGAAATGTCTTAAATAGATTTTTAAATCTCATGCTTGGAGTTTGCTGTAACTTACTGGAGTTAAAAAGTTTTGCTTCTACTCTATCTTTAATATAATACACTATCTCTTTAATATAATATAGTAGAATAAAATAATAAATGAGCCTCCTGAGAGCAGGCAGCTTTTTAATAGAATATAGTATATCTTTAATATAATATGTAAATCTTTAATATAATATGTATATCTTTAAGATAATATAGTATATCTTTAATATAATATAGTATATCTTTAATATAGCATATCTTTAATATAATGTGGTATATCTTTAATATAATATGGTATATCTTTAATATCATATACTATATTTTTAATATAATATACTATATCCTTAATACAATATACTATATCTTTAATAGAATATAGTATAATAAAACAACAAATGAGCCTCCTGAGAGCATGCAGCTCTTTAGTATAATATAGTATATCTTTAATAGAATATGGCACATCTTTAATATAATGTGGTATATCTTTAATCCAATATACCATATCTTTAATCCGATATAGCATATCTTTAATATAATATAGCATATCTTTAATCCAGTATATCATATCTTTAATATACTATAGCATATATTTAATCCAGTATAGCATATCTTTAATATAATATAGTATATCTTTAATAGAATATACTATATCTTTAACACAATATAGTATAATAAAAAATGAGCCTCCTGAGAGCATGCAGCTCTTTAGTATAATATAGTATATCTTTAATAGAATATGGCACATCTTTAATATAATGTGGTATATCTTTAATCCAATATACCATATCTTTAATCCGATATAGCATATCTTTAATATAATATAGCATATCTTTAATCCAGTATATCATATCTTTAATATACTATAGCATATATTTAATCCAGTATAGCATATCTTTAATCCGATATAGCATATATTTAATATAATATAGCATATCTGTAATAGAATATAGCATATCTTTAATATAATATAGCATATATTTAATCCAATATATCATATCTTTAATCCAATATAGCATATCTTTAATCCAATATAGCATATCTTTAATATACTATAGCATATCTTTAATCCAGTATAGCATATATTTAATCCAATATATCATATCTTTAATCCAATATACCATATCTTTAATCCAATATAGCATATATTTAATCCAATATAGCATATCTGTAATATAATATAGCATATATTTAATCCAATATAGCATATCTTTAATATAATATAGCATATATTTAATCCAATATATCATATCTTTAATCCAATATACCATATCTTTAATCCAATATAGCATATCTTTAATATACTATAGCATATCTTTAATCCAGTATAGCATATCTTTAATCCAATATAGCATATCTTTAATAGAATATAGCATATCTTTAATCCAGTATAGCATATATTTAATCCAATATAGCATATCTTTAACCCAGTACAGCACACCTTCAATCCAGTCCCCCACATCTCCAGTCCAGTCTCCCACATCTCCAGTCCAGTCCCCCACATCTCCAGTCCAGTCCAGCACTCCCACAGGTGTCCCCGAGCCCGCAGCCCCTGCCCCGCTGACCCGGCCGTGTTTGTTTGCAGCTGGCAGAGCCCCCCGGGCACCCCCCGGGCCCCGCAGCCCCCCCCGGGCACTGCCCGGGCTGGGCACAGGGCTGGGCACGGGGGCAGCCCCGGCCCCGGCAGAGCGCAGCCGGCGCGGGAGGACGAGGAGGAGCTGCAAATGGGTATGCAAATCATTGTCCCTGTCCCATCCCTGTCCCTGGCAGATGCAGGAGTCATCGGCAGGGAGGTGCAGTCCCAGAAAGAGCCCGTGCTCCAGGAGCCCATGGTGAGTGACCAGAGGCTTGGAAGGGACCTTAAACCCCATCCCATCCCATCCCATCCCATCCCATCCCACCCCATCCATCCCATCCCATCCCATCCCATCCCATCCCATCCCATCCCATCCCATCCCATCCCATCCCATCGCATCCCATCCCATCCCATCCCATCCCATCCCATCCCACCCCACCCCAGCCATCAAAAATCCCATCTCACCCCATCCCCAGCATCACAAACTCCTCCAGGGCTTAGAAGGGATCTTAAATCCCATCTCATCCCATCCCAGCCATCAAAAATCCCACCCCAACCATCAAAAATCCCATCTCACCCACCCCAGTCCCCTTCCCCTGCCCCAGGGTGCTCCAAGCCCTGCCCAGCCTGGCTGGGGAAAGTTTTCATCTTCTCGTCCTGCCCTGTTCCATCTGGCTCAGGATAAGAGTCCAATCAACCAATAATCACCCAGAAGTTCCTGTAAGCTCCAAACTCCCTGGGTGTGGAGGGATGCCAAAGATAATCAATCAATAATCACCCAGAAGTTCCTGTAAGCTCCAAACTCCCTGGGTGTGGAGGGATGCCAAAGATAATCAATCAATAATCACCCAGAAGTTCCTGTAAGCTCCAAACTCCCTGGGTGTGGAGGGATGCCAAAGATAATCAATCAATAATCACCCAGAAGTTCCTGTAAGCTCCAAACTCCCTGGGGGTGGAGGGATGCCAAAGATGTTTTGGGGTTTTTTAACAAGCACTAACAGGCCTGGAGAGGTGCAAGTGCTCCAGGCTTGCAGGGGAGGGCAGGCTGCTGAGGGAATATTCCTGAGGGAATATCCTTCCACAAGAGGCTTTTCCTTTTTATTTATTTTTATTTTTTCTGCCCAGATGCCGGATGATGCTGCAGATCCTGCCCAGGACCCCAACAACCAGGGCGAGGATGAGTTTGAGGAGGCTGAGCTGGAGAGACCTGACTTTGAGGAGAAGGTGGGAGCCTCAGAGAAGTTCAAGGAGCCCAGCGTTAAAGAAGAGTGGAAGGAGAAGCCACCAAAGGTGACAACCACAGGGCCAGGGAGGGATCCCCAGCTGGGGAGAGCTTCAGGAAACATCAGGTTCCTGATGGATCCTTAATCCCACTGGGAGATGTGGCAGGCAGGACAAAACTCTTTGGCAGGTTGCTCAAACCAACCTATTTTTTCTTCCACTGGTTGTGATGGGGCTTGAAATTTCCATTTCAGAGGAATGTTTGGTCCTTTGTTTTCACTCTGCTTGTGTTTTTTATCAGCTGTGCAAGTCCAGCTCTGGCACAGAGTGGAGCAGAATAAGCCAAGGTTCAAGATTTACTAAACCAGAGTTTAGGAAATTTTCTTTTAGCCAAGCACCAGAGCTTGTTCTGCTTCATTTTCTCTGCTTTTGAAATCCCCCCTGGCGCTTGCAACGCCTTTAGGGGTGGGGAGATGTGGAACTTTGCTGCACTTGGGAGCAGAACCAGGGACAATAATCTGAGTTTGTGCTGGGGTTCTGGTCAGGGCAGCCTGTCCCAGCTCCTGGCAGATGTGGGAGCTCTGCCTCCCTGTTTGCTTCCTTGCAGATGGAATCCATTTGTTTCACCGAGTGTTTCTTGCTGCCTGAAGCCAGGCTCTGCAGCAGGGAAATGTTCATTTGTTTTGACAAGCAGCTGAATGTTGCTTGTTTTAAAAAAAAAAAAAAAAAGGAGTGTTTTATCTGTCAGGCTCTAAAATCATGACAAATGGTGGGATTAAGAAAGAAAAAAAAAGAAATCCAGGCCAATGAAATCAAATAAGAGAGAGGTGCTGGCACCAGCAGAGCAACACCTCCTTGAGATTAGTGAAAATGTGGGAAGAATTAGTGGCACAAATACCTGCCCTTCAGATCTGGCTGTGCTGTGCTCCCTAAAGCTCTACCCTAAATAACCCCAAATCTTCCAGAGGCAACAGCCCTGGGGCCCTGCTGCTGCAGAGAGAGGAGCTGCCAGCAGGTGGGAAGAGACTGGATGGAAAAAATAACTGGAATTTGTGTGTCCTGATTGTCCCTCTGCTCCCCTGACTCCTGATGCAGCCCTCGGGCTGTGCTGCAGGCTGGCACAGGCTGGGCACTCTCACCCCTGCCTGCCTGTGTTTTTTAGGATGCTGGCAGACCTGCCAAGGCCAGGGAGGAGCCACTGGAGGATTACCAAGAAGATCAGGAGCAGGAAATTGTACGACACCAAGGTTCTTCCTCTTTCCCTCTCTGGTGTGGGGTCACCCGGGGGTGTTGGCAGCCAGGAGCTGGGGGGAGTCAGCTTTTTGGGGTGAGCAGGGGGGCACTCAGCTTTTTGGGGTGAGCAGGGCTCCAGCTCTGCCTCTGCCTGCCCAGTGAGGGGTCCAGAGCAAAGCTGGAGCTCGCTGCTGCCTTTTCCAGGTGTTCAGAGCACCTTTTGTGCTCTGTCTGCATCCATCTGCAGCAGCTGAGCTGGGGGATGCTCCCAACAGCAACTGGGAGGAATTATTGGAGGAATTATAGGAGGAATCACAGCAGGAATCAGTCACAGGAAGAATTATAGGGGGAATCATAAGAGGAATTTTAGGGGGAATCACAGGAGGAATCACAGGAGGAATCACAGCAGGAATCAATCACAGGAGGAATTATAGGGGGAATAATAAGAGGAATTTTAGGGGGAATCACAGGAGGAATTATAGGAGGAATCACGGGAGGAATTATAGGAAATTATAGCAGGAACTATAGGAGGAATCGCAGGAGGAATTATAGGGGGATTCATAGGAAGAATCACAAGAGGAATCAGTCACAGGAGGAATTACAGGGGGAATTATAGGAGAAATTATAGCAGGAACCAGAGGAGGAATTTTCGGAGGAATCAATCACAGGAGGAATTATAGGGGAAATCACAGGAGGAATCACAGGAGGAATCACTGCAGGAATCAATCACAGGAGGAATTATAGAAGGAATCACAGGGGAATCACAGGAGGAATCACTGCAGGAATCAATCACAGGAGGAATTATAGAAGGAATCACAGGAGGAACCAAGGCTGTGCCAGTGCAGCAATGCCAGATCAATATTTTTCAAGCACGAGCTGGAGAGGATCACCCTGGCACCTCCTGGCTCACAGAGACAGAAATGAATCCTCTTCCAGTCTCATTAATTCCCTCCCTGCCCTTTGTGGGTGGCTCCTGAGGGTTTTTTCTGCAGTTCCCCAGGATTGCTGAGGGTTTGGGGAAAGAGAGGGTGGGCAGAGCAGAGCTGGTGCCAGGTCTCCTTTCCCTGAGTGATTCCTCTTGTAGGGGTCTACAATGGATGTTGGAGCTGAAATCATCCCTGGAGGCTGTGCTGGCCTGGCTGGGGCTGGTGACACAGTTTTAAAGGTGGTGGATGTAAAACATCAGCTCCTCAAACCTGCTCTTTCCACCTGCCCCTCATTCTGCTCCAGCAGCAGGCTGAGGTGTCCAAGCTGCACTGCCAGGACATTAAATGTGCTTAAAACCCCTCTGTGTCCTGCCAGGACACCTGAAGGTGCCACCAGAGGTGGGTTCTTCCCTCTTTTCCCAGGTTTCCAAAGCTGGAGGAACAGTTCTGGTCAGGGACAGCGTGGTGTGCTTTGGGGTCTCCTTTTCCAGGATTTCCTTTGGGCTGATTTTTCCTTCTGTGCCCCCAGGAGGATCATGGAGGGGAGGTGGATGACAACGATGACCTGGAGCTTGGCCAGGAGCAGAAGGACCGTGTGGGCAGGCAAGGAGCTGCTGGCAAGAAGGATGACTACTTCTGAGAGCTGCTGAAAGAACGGGATACTCCAGGAACGAGGGGATGGGAGCTCCTCTGGGAGCTGCCTCCTGAGCGAAACAGTGCCCAGAGCAAAGGCAGGAGGAGGGAGCTCTCTGCAGGCCCTGGCAGGGGGGGTGCAGATGAAAATCCCACCAGTGTGGGGCACCTGCTGCCTCTCAGAGATCTCTCAGACTGGGAGTGATCTTATCCTGCTGCTTTTCTTAAAGCACTTTTGATTTACTGTGTTCTTCACCCTCTTGTTTTTCACACTCCCTTTGGAAGCTGGAGAGGGTTTTTTTGGCTGGTTTTGGGGGTGTTTTTTACCCCCCCTGGGCAGCAGAGGGCCCTGGACTCACTCGACTGGTCTCTAATACAAAGGAATCTGCCTTGATAAATAATTTTGTGTTTCTTTAGCACACTCTGAGTAGGGCGGGGAGGGAAGCAGAGGAAATGTCCTGTTCTTTGCCTGGAGCTGTGCAGGAGCACCAAGCACAGCCAGCAGAGTGTGGTGTGAACTCCTGCAGCCCCTTCCTGCTGCAGAGACCCTCCAGAGACAGGAGCAGATCCCTGCAGAGCCCTCCTTGGGCTGGGACAGTCCTGCTGGCCTCAGTGTCCCCTGGAATGCTGGGGCTCTTCTCTGCTGGAGCTCAGGGCTGCCCTGAGCTCAGAGAGGCTCCTCCCCACGGGGACAGGGACAGCCACACCAAGAAACAGGAAAAAAAGGAATATTTGCAGCCCAACTCACGCAGTTTCAAGCTGTTTGGATTGTTGCCAGTCTCCCAACAGGAGCTAAGGTAAATTTTGTCTCTTCTGGACAGGTTTTGATCAGCAAGCTGGGTGTTGTTGATGGAGTAGATTGAATCCTGTGGGACTTTACCTGGCCTCCAAAAGACATCTTACCTGACCTCAGGGACAAAAAGGAACAGTCAGCTGGAACCCCTGGAAATTAAAATGAAAGGATAATGAGTTTAATCACAATATCTCAAAGCCCAGAACCTGTTTTAAGTGATAAGAACAGGGCAGAGCTGTCCCACTCCCTGTGCCTGAGCTGTGTCCTGCTTCCTCATCCCCAGACTCTGGGACCTCAAACACAGCTTGTGCCTGAATCTCATCACCTGCTAAAAAATCGGAGCCTCTTTGTTCTCTATTTGAATTAGTTGAGCTCTTTGCAATCCCTTGTTTGTGGCATATTTTGCAAGCACTTTTAGACACTGGGGAAAACAATATTTAATTCCCAACAAGCTCAGCCTTTTTCATTCTGACAGCACTGATTATTTTTTTCTTCCACTGGTTGTAACAGAGCTTGAAATTTACATTTCATAGGAGTTTTTGGTTCTTTATTTTCATTCTGCTTGTGTTCCTTACCAGTACAATCAGCTGTGCAAATCCAGCTCTGGCATAGAATCGAGCAGAGTAAGGAAAGGGACAATTTTAGGGAATTATCTTTTAGCCAAGTGCCAGAGCTGCTCATGGAGCCCAGAGAGGAGCTCACGACAGAACCCCAGTGGGGTTTTAGGTACCCAAAATGCCCTGAGATGGTTCAGGCTGCGTTGGTGCCTTGCCAGCCCTGTGTCATGCAGCTCCTCTGTGAACAGCTCACCCACAGCAGAGCAGCTGAGGCTGCAGTTCCTTTTGCAGAGCATCCTGAGCAGAGCTGCCTCCCTGTCCCAGGGCAGAGCAGCCCCCTGCCTCCCCAGCACGGCCCCAGGGCCAAAGCTCTGTGCCCAAGTTGGGTTCTGTGCTTCCTTTTCTGCCTTCTGGGATTGAAGATGATGGTTCACACTCAGATCCGGGTGTTTATTGTTTCTTTTATCAATGCTACAGTCTCACAGCGCTGAGCTCTGCAGTATTTCATTAACAAGGCACAAAATGGCCAAACAATCTCTTGTTGCAAGGTCTTTTAAGGCTAAACTATCCAATTAAGAAATTACACCTAAATTATTGTTACTTTTAACCCAATAACCAACCCCCCGTGCCCACAATGTGGAGTTTTTATCCAATTACACAAAACGTCCCAATCCCATGGAGAAGAAGGAAGAAGAAGGTAAAGAAAACAGCCAGACTCTGCCCTAAAACCTCCATCTTCCTTCATATTTATTTCTGTATTCTAAAACCCCAAACTCTGAGTTTTCCACCCTGTGATATTACACACTTCTGACCAACCCCACACCCACGATTCCAGTGCTATCAATCAATTTTGGAAGCCTCTCCACAGCCCCAGGTCAGTGCAGTGTTCTCCTGGGGGTCAGAGCCTTTCAGCACAGAAAGTTTAAAATTTCAGCAGCCAAAGTTCCATCACCCAGCTGTGTTCAGCTCAGCTCTGCCTCCCTGGCACTTCAGCCCTGACTGGGAGTGAATCAGGCACTGGAAACAGGAGCCCAGTGGGGCTGAGGCTGCTCAGGGATTCAGGCTGCAGGATAATCTAAATTAGGAGGCAGATTCTCTGTGTTTGCACGTCCAGGGTGAGTAATCCTCAAAGTTATGACTTGGAGGGAACTGCAGCAACTCAACTGAGTGCAAAGCTCGCAGCTTGGAGGATGCTTTAGGAACCATATGTCATGTGCTGCCCTCAGCTGAGAGCAAACAGCTCTGCCTGGGGACTGGCTGCCCCGGCCACACTGAGACTAAAATTAGCAGAGTGTTGCATAAATTGTGAGCTGTAGCTTGGCAGTGCTTCACAGTGAGTTCTGATACTCCTTCACTGTTTCCTTGAGGAGAGACAATAAAGGCAGGGGAGGAGAAGCAGAAAAGCCCCGTGGTGGCTGGAGGCTGTGAAGCGATCTGGGACGCTGCTGGGCTTCACAGCTCACACAGATCACAGGCTCGGCCTGAGCAGCAGAAGGCTGAAGCAATGCCATAAAAAAAGCCCAGGCTGGGTTTTACTGCACAGGACAAGGTCTCAGGAAACAGATGGATTGATAAGAGAGCAAACAATGAGATAAAGGATTCACAGGGAGCCAGCACAGCCAGGCTGACCAAGCCAAAGCAGGGGGTCTGCTTGGCTCTGCCATAAACAATTGGGTTTGTGCTCAGCCACGGTGCAAGGCCAAAAATAGTGCAGAAGGTGGAGTTAACCTGTAGCATTGTCATTCTTTTGGTGGGTTCAGGGCCTTCACTTCTGTGCCAACCATTTTCCCTCCCTGCACCACACTCCAGACCTTTGGATCTCCCAGCAGAACTCAGGGTGAGCTGTCCATCACAAATTGTTCATCACAAGTTGTCCATCACAAATTGATAAGCTCAAGTTGTCCACCACAAATTGTTCATTACAAATTGATAATCTCAAGATATCCCTACAAGTTGTCCATCACAAATTGTCCATCACAAATTGTCCATCACAAATTGTCCATCACAAGCTGTTCACCACAAGTTTCCCATCACAAGTTTTCCACCACAAGTTGTCCATCTCAAGTTGTCCACCACAAATTGTCCATCACAAGCTGTCCATCACAAGCAGCCACAGAGGCTGGTGCCAGATCTCCTCCTGGGAACAATCACCTCTGTCAGGAGAAGGGCACAAGGTTTGAAGGAGTCAAAATTTGCTTGCTTTGGCTCCAGCCCCTGGCTGACCACGCTCCCATTTCTCAGGAAGGGCTGTCAGAGCTCCAGGTTTTGCATTCCTGGCTGGAATTCCACGTGTAAATTTGCCAAGAAGTGCCTTGAGCAGCACAGCACCTCTTCCTGCTCCAATCTCTGAGTGGTTTCCAAGCCATAACTGCACCTTCAGCATCCTATTCTATGCTGATCCTATTTTTTTATTGATCCCTCTTGGTATCAAAAGAGATTCCTGGCAACTTTCCATAGGCTTGCAGACACCCCCATTCAATCTGGTGAAAAATTAGATGTGGAAATAACTTGCAATACTTGATATTGGTAAATTAAAGATTTCCTCAGGAAATTCCTCCACTTGAAAAATTCAGTGTAAATGGAAAAATCCATTTTTCTTTCCAAGAGGAAAAGGTGTCCTGATGTCAGACCATTCATGCTCAATGCATCAGAAAGCAAATTCATTTAAACAAATTCCACCCTGCTGCAAATTGCGCTTTGTGTATATGCGAGCATCACCTTCTGGGTATGATTTGGGTTTGCTTTTGTTCAGGCTATGAAATAAAAATAGGCCTGGGGATCTTATTTTTGTTGTGTTTCCAAGTTACATAATTCAAATGTTGTTTTTAAAGAAAACACACAGGAAGCTGCAATGTGTTTCTAAATAGGTGACAGTGAAGAACTACAGCAATGTGTTCAGGCACATTTCTGAGGGTTTTAACAAAATAATGTGTTAATTATTCTATTTTACAAGTTAAATATAGACAAATGCTTATGTCTTGCTATAAAATCTGGAACACATCTTTATGTAAAACCTGATCAAAACCAAAAAGAAATGTTGCCTTTTTTTCCCCTGCCACTCAGAAAAGCACTTAAAGCAACTTTTACCAATTTAACAGCTCGAAGAACCTCCTCACACTGTTTAATCCTGTATTTTTATTATTGTTTCATTACAGCTCTTTTCTTTCCCTGTTTAGACAAGTCAATACTCTCGTGTGCCTCTCTCAAGGTCGTTCAGAGAACATTAATTATGGTGTAAAGCTGGGATGGAGCACTGCTGTCTCCTCCTGTGCTGCAAAAATCCACTGCTGCCTCCACCCCAGGGGTAGGTGAAGGGCTGGCCCTGCTGCAGGGGGAGGAAATGAAGGGGAATTTGGGGCAAGGCAAGAAGAGGAATTTGGGGCAAGGCAGGGAGAGGAATCTCCTCGTCCCTTCTGTCCCAGGGCGTGCCCTAAGACCCGGAGTTATCCTGCTCTCAGCTGGGCTCCTGGGAGGGTCTCGTGTCTTTCTCACATCCTCGCCGAGTTCATTTAAATTCCCAGAGCCAGGAGGTTGGAGCAGCCTGGGTGTGCGGTTATCACCGTGTTAAAAATAAAATTAAATTAAATTAAAGCTGTGTGAGGTCTGTTTTTTCGAACAAGGTTTGCATCAGCTGGAGGGGAGCTGTGTCACCTTCCCAGCCTGTCCTGACCCCGGCCCTGCTGGTGTCAGCCCCTGGGGACAGAGGCACCTCCCGGCCATCCCCAGGCTCATTTTTGAGGGGTTTTAACCAAGGTTTTTACAGGTTAAATATAGATAAATGTTTATGTTCTGCTATAAAAATTAAAATAGGATCCTATGTAAAACCAGTTCAAAACACGGACAAGTTTTAAAAAATATCATTGTTTGGTGTGGGGTGAAATCTGCAACTCGACCAAGACAGGACAGAACAGACCCCCAAATCCTGGGGGATGCAACACTGGTGGGCACAGCAGAGCCCGGGGGAGGCACGGCAGGGGCTGCACATCCCCTGTGCCGACCCCTGGGGGGGTCTGAGCATCCCTGTGCCATCCCTTGTGGGGTCTGAGCATCCCTACACTGACCCTTGTGGGGTCTGAGCATCCCTGTGCCAACCCTTGTGGGGTCTGTGCATCCCTGTGCCATCCCTTGTGGGGTCTGAGCATCCCTGTGCCATCCCTTGTGGGGTCTGTGCATCCCTGTGCCATCCCTTGTGGGGTCTGAGCATCCCTGTGCCAACCTCTGGGGGATCTGAGCATCCCCGTGCCAACCCGTGGGGTCTCAGCATCCCTGCACCGACCCTTGTGGGGTCTGAGCATCCCTGTGGCAACCCTTAATGGGTCTCAGCATCTCCTGTGCCAGTCCTTGCGGGATCTCATCGTCCTCCGTGCCCAGCCCTGTGGGGTCTCAGCACCCCCCGCACCCTCCCCCGCGGGGTCTCAGCATCCCCCGTGCCAGCCTTTGCGGGGTCTCAGCATCCCACTGCCAGCCTTTGCGGGGTCTCAGCATCCACGTGCCCACCCCTGTGGGATCTCAGCACCCCCCGTGCCCATCCCTGTGGGATCTCATTACCCCTTTGTGCCGGTCCTTGCGGGGTCTCATCATCCCCCTTGCCCATCCCTTCGGGATCTCAGCATCCCCCCTTGCCCACCCCTGTGGGGTCTCATCATCCCTTTGAGCCGGTCCTTGCGGGGTCTCATCATCCCCGTGCCCTCCCCCGCGGGGTCTCATCATCCCCGTGCCCTCCCCCGCGGGGTCTCAGCACCCCCCTTGCCCACCCCTGTGGGGTCTCAGCACCCCCCTTGCCCACCCCTGTGGGGTCTCATCATCCCCGTGCCCTCCCCCGCGGGGTCTCAGCACCCCCCGTGCCCTCCCCCGCGGGGTCTCATCGCTCCGCGCGGAGCCCCCGGAGCCGCGTCCGTGCGGCCACCAGCGGCCGCAGCGGGCGGGTGCTCCGCAGCCCGGCGAGAGTTAACGGCGGCACCGCCTCTCCACCGGCGGCCCCGCGGCGGCTGCCGAGCCGCGCTCTCCCCGCGCTCCCTCCGCGGCTCCATGCGGCGGCGGCCGCCGGCATGCCCGGCACCGCACCCAGCCTGCTGCCTCCTCTGCTCGCCCTGCTGTGCCTGGGCTGTGCCGCCGAGCCCAAGCCCGACCCCGACGAGCCGTGGTGCCCCTACAAGGTGGGCGGCGATGGAGCGGCGGGGGCGCGGCTGTGCTTCCGCCCGCCGGCCCGCGGCTTCCAGTGCGCGGCCCGGGCGTGCCGCGCCCACCGCTCCGCGGGCGGCGCGCTGGTGGCCAACGTGCTGCGGAACGGCAGCGTGCTGCTGCAGTGGGGGCTGCGGCACTGGGGGCCGCCGCGCCCCGCCGCCGCCCCCGCCGCCCTGCGCGGCTTCGCGCTCAACTGCTCCTGGGACGGCACCTACACGCGCTTCCCCTGCGACAGCGTGGAGCTGGGAGCCGCGTGCCGCGATTACCTGCTGGCCGAGGCGCACGGCAGCGTGCGCTACCGCCTGTGCTTGCAGCCGCGCTACGCGCCGCCGCGCCCCGCGCCGCCCGCGCAGTGCGTGGAGTTCCGCGTGGAGCCCGCGGCCATGCGCGACATCGTGGTGGCCATGACGGCCGTGGGGGGATCCATCTGCGTGATGCTCGTCTTCATCTGCCTGCTCGTGGCCTACATCACCGAGAACCTGATGAGCCCCGCTCTCGGCCGCGGGGGACACGCGGCGGCCGCTGCGCGCCGCGCGTAGCGCGGGTGGTGGTGATGATGATGGTGATGATGATGATGGTGATGATGGTGGTGGTGGTGGTGGTGATGCGGAGCCCGGCGCTCTCCGGCGAGGGAAGAGGTTTTCCAGACTGTTCTGGCGGCGCTGGGTTTGCCGTGCCCAGATTGGCAGGATGCGCGTTTCCAGCGGAGTTCGGAGCGCTTCTTCCTCCTGGAGGCTTCTCGGCCAGAGCCCTTCGTGGCGAACTCGTGGCATCTCAGCGGATCAAATAACAATAGCAGAGGTCCACAAGTGCCAGAAATCGTCTGTTTTTAAGGGCAAGCGGCAGATCTTACCGAGGGCCTGTTTGAAAAGACTCTCCAGAACTACCCTTATTTTAAACCTAAAACCTCTTGGTCTTAGACCCGTGCTTGATTTTCTTCCTGTGGGGTAGAGTTGTTTAAAGTTCAGGAGGACTGACTGGTGGGACCACAAACTCCATAGCTAAGTGCGTGTCTGATCCAAAGCCCACTTAATCTCGTGCTTTAGGGGGGTTTTGTATCATGCCTTACGGTGGTCACAAATTTTGGGGCCGCTGTCCAAAAACCACGGGGGTTTTCTGGTCGAGGGTTTTCTGGTCAGCTCCAGCGACCATCAACATCCAACACCTGCTTTTCTCCCATCAGAATTGTGTTGTATTTTCACAAAGAGCGCAGGTAAAGGGATAAACTGAGCAAGAAAACTCCATTTCCTTGAGCAAGTAGGAAGCAACCCTTAATGATAAGTGAGCACCCCCTTGCCCCCTGAAATCCCCTCCTCTAGCAAAGCAGCTGCACTAAGGTAGAAGCTTCTTGACCACAGAACTCACCGATGTTGTAGCCGAGTGTTTTGAGCGTAGGAACACTCCCTGGTAACTCCTCACTTGATGCTGTAGTGAAGTAAGGTTTTAGCCATACTCTAGTACTGATTCTATCGTGCCTTAGTGCTGAGAATTTGTCCCATTTCTATTGGTGTATCCCTAGTCCTTGTAGTTAAGTGTTATCTTGTCTCTGGAATTAGTGTTGTTGGTTTGTCTGATTGTTTTCTTTAAAAAAACAAACAAACTTGGGCTGAGCATTACTTGAAATTTAATATATACACAAAGTAGTTACCTTCAGAGAGGTGTTTAGTGAGGTAGTTTTTAGTACGTGTTGTTTGTGTGTAGTTGACTGCTGTAACACGAAAAAATTAATTTATTATCACTTAGGAACTGTGCACTTAAAGCAAAAAAAAATTTAAAAAGTAGGGGAAAGGCTCTTTGTAAAGGGACGGTCAGGTTCAGTGTGATCTGTTTGTGTAAATGTTTAGCACTGGTGAACGACCTGTTTGCTTTTCCTTGTCAAAGTCGTTTGTGAAGTTCCACCTCGGTGGTAGAGGGCGAACATAGAAGTGTGTGGAACCTTTGATAACACCCAGTGTTTGTAGCGAACATAATCCCTCCCTCGAGAACCTGGCAGTGGCTGAGGAGCTGCAGGTCCGCGTTTCATCAGCACCTTTTCCTCTGTTTGTTTTTGCTGCTGTGTTCCATTCTCACCTGCAGCTGACCCCACGGAGGTGCTCTGTGTTTGTTGCCTTGCCTGGGTGCTGGATTGCAGCAGCTCACTGATGCCATCATTTTTGGGTTTTTATCCCCGAGGAGATGCTGAAGAAAAAGCAATTTTGAAGAACATGAAGACAAATTTTGGTATTTTAAAGGTTTCAGGGTTTTTTTTTTGCTGTAGCCAGCTCAGCACAGGAGCATTGGAGTGTCAGTGGTTTTGTACATCTCTGTCACCTTTTGTCAGCCAATGTCACTGTTCTGTTCCTCATCTTGTCATGAATTGCCAGATGTGATATAAACAACGAGCCTTGTACCACCTTGGCACTGAACTTAATAAATTAAGAGGATGATGAAAAGAAATGAACATTTCATAAATATTTAAAGGTTCAAGATCTTGCTTGACTCAAAGTGAGTCTGGTCATAATAATATTCCATTGCCTACTGTAAAGTTATGCCAGCATTAATGGGAAAATAAGAGATTTATTCTCTGAATACTCCATTTTATTTACTAGAGGTTTGGACTATATATAACTGGGTAATTCAGGTGCTAAGTGTGAGGAAATGGAAATGTAATTTACAGTTTGGAATGTGATTGTGTTCAGTAAGGCATCTCTGCAGGTAATAATGGATACCCTAAATAATAATAATAATAATAATAATAATAATAATAATAATAATAATAATAATAATAATAATGGTATAACCCTAATGGATGATGGGACAACCCTAAAACAGCACCTTGGAGACACTAAAGAGATGTTTTTGTAGTCATTTCACATTTTTATTCATCAGTCTCTGGGGATTACATTGTAACAGCATCTTGGGCAGAGAGTAGAAAAAGAATATAAATCCTGATAGAAGAAAATCTGCAATTTTCTAAAGGATTATTTTCATTTTTTTCCTTTCCCATGCATTATAAATGGGATGTGGGAAACAATATCTCAGTTTCTCATTCATTTTCAGTGGATTAAGCTTTAATTGAACACATCTGGGTGTGTGGAGTAGAAAATCAGAGTATTCTGTTTCATTTTGTGGGACATTAAGCAAAATATCTGTTGACCCATTGATAGCTGGATTTTTTCCTTCTATCACTATAGAAATTTCCCCTGCCATGAATGCAGACATTTCTTGTGCTAATAAAAGGGGAAATTACATGAACACAGGCTTGGTACTAATCCAGCAGCCAGAGCCTTAGTGAGACTGCACATTTAGAGCTTTCTCCAGGCTTTGCAGCAATTCCCAAAACGTGCAGAGTGGCTTGGGAGTGATAATCCATCCTGGCCTGCCCAGGCAGCAATAAAGAAGTGGCAGAATTGCTGATTTATAACTGCCAAGGAGCTGCTTTGCCAAAAGTGGAAATAGCTCCTAGGGCAACTTCACATTTTCCATGTTACTATAAAGTACCTGCTATTAAAAATCCATGTGGTGCCTTCTTAGGTGTTTTATGATCCTGCATTGATCCAGGACAAACATCAGGCCACGTCCAGGAGCTGAAATGGAGAATGATATGCTCATTAACAAGCTGCTTTTTCCTCGCCCTGTGCTAAATGTGAGGAAAACAACTGCTTCAAAAATGTGAGCAGCTCAAAGCCCAGCTTGACCCCAGCTCTGAGTGTTCTGGAGGAAACAGTCTGTGCCTCAGGCAAAGAATCTCTTAATTGCATTTTTATTTTTATTTTTTTTTATGGTGAGACATAAATGGAAAGGCTGCCTGGCTTTATTTGGAGGTGCAGGCAAAAGCTGGGATTTTGCTTCCATGGAGATCTGGAGTCTCAGTTTTGTGAGGCTGCAAACTGCTGCTGTGTTTCAGCAAAAGAAAGGAGGAAAAGAGGCAGGTAATTCTTGGTAAAAGCTTTGGTATTACAGCAGGGATGCTTGGATGGGGTTTTTTGGCATTTTTAACCTGAGCAAAACCACTCTCAGACTTGCTTCAGCCCAAGTCTGGTCACTGCATCTCTGATAATCCCCTGACCAGAAGCACCAGGTGATCACATCTCATTATTTACAAAATAAGAATTGAGGAGATGATGGGCAGGGATAGGAATGGCTGAGAGGAGACCCAAGGAAAGAAGGTTTTCTGCTGAGGGGACACGTTTAGGTGGGAAATGCTGGGTGACAAAAGGGCTGCATGAGGAAAGGGGAAAGCTTTCTTTGTTAAAGTCGAGGGGATAGTGAGAAAAACTTTATTTTTTATGGAAAATACAAAAGAGGGAGAGGTTTTACCCAGAGGAGAGGAGAATGGTGGTTGTGGGAGCAGGAAAAGGCGCTGCTGGAAGTGCTGTGGTGATAATGGGGAAAAAAAATTCCTCAGAAGGCACAAAGAGGAAAAAAATATTAGTGCAAAACATTTTTAGGAAGCACTGAGAGTCTTGCTTCACTAGTGAAGTTCAGCTGGGCTGGGGAATAGATTTGTTCCTTTGATGTCCTGGTTTATCTCCTGCATTTCTCCTGCTCCGTTACCTCCTCCTGCCATTGAAACAGTGCAAGGAGACCAAAATGGGAAAGGGAAAAAGGGAAAAGATGACAAAAACCTCAGAGAAAAATGGGATTGAGCTGGGCTGAGCAAGGAGCACCGTGATAATTTTGACCTGGATGCGAGAAAACAATCCTGAAACCAGCATATTTCACCAGTGGTGGGTAAATAACATAAGTAACATAAATAACTCCTAGTTTTGGCATTCTAATTTGTGCAGTTTGCAGTAAAAGCGCCACGCTTCCTCCTGGAATGCAGAATTCCGTGTTTAATCCGAACAGTGTTGGCGTTCTGGTCGCTGCGGATCCCACCGGGCACATCCAATTCTCCTCCTCGGGATGACTCAATCCTGCATCCAAACGCTTCCCCTCGGCACCATCCCAGCCCCGCCGCGGCATTCGGCTGCCATCTAGCGCCGAACTGAGGGGAATCTGTCCTAAAAACCTGCTTTTCTGACCAGCTTTTTAATCCCGCAGTCCCGGATTCAGGGACTGGCGCGGAATGGCGTTTGGTGGTGGGAGCGCTGGAGGCCTCATTGCCTTTTATTGTGATTAAATCTTCTTAATGTCCAACGTAAACCTCCTCTCATCGCCCTTTATGTGATGAAATCTTCTTAACGTTCAACCTAAACCTCCTCTGGTGCAACTGAGGCTGTTCCCTCTCCTGCTGTCCCTGTTCCTTGGGAGAATTCCAATCTCCTAAAGCCACAAGGTCCCCAGTGAGGCTCCTTTTTTCAGGCTGAGCCCTTTCCCAGCTCCCTCAGCCTCTCCTGGGGCTCCAAACACTTCCCCAGCCCCGTTCCCTTTCCTTGGTAAGGTGAACAAGAAGCTTTAAAACCATGGAACATCCTGAGCTGGAAGAGATGGTCCACAAGGATCAGAGTCTAAGCCCTCACCCTGCCCACACACCCCAAAATCCCACCCCGTGCGTCCATGGGAGCGGTATCCAAACCCTCCTGGAGCTTTTGGGGCTGTGCCCTAGAAACCTCTGAGGGAAAAACCTTTCCCAAAACCCAACCTAAACCTCTCCTGACACAGCTCCAGGGTCCTGTCCCCACAGAGATCAGTGCCTGTCCCTCCTCCTCCCCTCACGAAGTTGTACATTGTAATGAGGTCAGCCCCCTCCAGGCTGAACAAGCCCTCACGCTCCTCATTCTCCTCCTCTGAGCACCAATACCTTATAAATACAGAATTATCTGTCTATATATCGATATCACACCTATAAAACTATCGATTTTTATAGGTTCTCGGGGTCCTGTCGATTGGTCCCCACAGAGATCAGTGCCTGGCTCTCCTCTTCCCCTCACGAAGTTGTACATTGCAATGAGGTCAGCCCCCTCCAGGCTGAACCCTCACGCTCCTCATAAAGCTCCTCCTCCTCTGGCCACGAATACCTTATAAATACATAATTATCTGTCTATATATCGATATCACACCTATAAAACTATCGATTTTTATAGGTTCCCGGGGTCCTGTCGATTGGTCCCCACAGAGATCAGTGCCTGTCCCTCCTCCTCCCCTCACGAAGTTGTACATTGCAATGAGGTCAGCCCCCTCCAGGCTGAACACGCCCTCACGCTCCTCATTCTCCTCCTCTGGCCACCAATACCTTATAAACACAGAATTATCTGCATCTATATGTCGATATCACACCTACAAAAATATCATTTTTAATATATTATTCATCGCCCAAAAACTCGGGAGGAGGAGGAGGCACAACCCTCTCCCTCCACGCTGCGCCCGACGCTTCCCACACCTCGCCGGGCGACTCACACCCCACTCCGCCTCGCCCAGCACCCTCGGCTCCTTCCTCCCGGCACTCCCCTCACGGCGGCCGCGGCCGCTCCGCCTCCCCCGCGCCGTGCCGCGGTTGGCCGCGGCGGGGCCCTGCTGACACGTCCCGTCCCCGCCCGCCGCGCTGCCGCCGCCATTTTGTGGAGCGGCGGCCGGGAGGGAGGGAAGGCGCGGGCAGCCCCAGCGCCGTGCCCGCCATGCCGTCCGCGCCGCTCCGCGTGGCCGTGGTGTGCTCCAGCAACCAGAACCGCAGCATGGAGGCGCACAACATCCTCAGGTAAACGCCGCTGCCCGGTTCGCCCGCCGTGCTGGCGGCGCTCCGCTGATGGGGCCGTGCGTTGCGGCCCGCGCCCGGCCCGGCAGGCCCGTGGTTGCGGGGCAGCCGCTTGCCTTCACCCTGCCTTCATCCCGCTTTTCACCTCGCTGCCACCCTGCTTGTACGCCCTTTTCACCCGTCTTTTATCCGCTTTTTGTCCCGTTTTCACCTCGCCTCCTCCGCGCCCCGCTCCAGGCCGCGGTCGGGGTCCCGGCCCTCCCTGACGGAGCTGTGGCCCCAGTGCTGGAAACACGGGCTGGGCGCTTGGGTGGAGCAAGGCCTGTGTCTCGCCGTGTGGAAACTTAAATGTTCCCTTTTCCTGGTTTTTTTTTTCCCCATTTCTTTTTTTTTTTTTTTTTTTTTTTTTTTTTTTTTTTCTGGAGTCTATCTGAGAGGGGCCCACTCTTCGTCAGGAGCTGCAGTGATAGGACAAGGCGTAATGCGTACAGAGCGAAAGGGGGAAAATTTAGGCTACATATTAGGAAGATATTTAATTTTTTTCGTGTGGAAAAAAGGGTGGTGAGACGCTGGCACAGGGAGATTGTGGCTGTCCCATCCCTGGAAGTGTGCAAGGCAAGGTTGGATGGTGTTTGGAGCATCCTGGGATGGTGGAAGGTGTCCCTGCCCATGGGTTCGGTTTTAAGGTCCCTTCCCAGCCCTTAACAATCTGTGAAGACTGAGCCACTCTGTGCCCTGGAAGGGAGCCCTTTCCTCTCACAGGAGAACCAGAACGTTCGGTTCAGAGTGCTAAATGCCTTTGAGATTATGAGTGTTAATC